AAAATTGTAATATTTCATCTTGCACAGTTTCAAAAAATTCATTGAACCTGTAAAAAATTAATTTTCGTAATTTCAAAAACTTAATAAATTGAGCCTTACTGTGCATTAATAATGACTGACCCAAATGATATTAGTCAGTACTGACCACGTTTGGTCGGACAAAATAAAACTTGCTGTTTTCTCCGCAAAACTGGATTCGTCAAATTTATACTCCGCCGTGCCCCGAACTTCCTAGTGTCGCTCCCACATTACGATGAATTGTCTGGATCGCAAAATTCTTAGCAAAAAATGCATACAAATGTAGAAGATGGTGGTTTTTGTTGCGCAAAAAAATGTATTTTAACCGTTCAGAACCAGATCATACACAAAGTTTGTAATTCGATTCTGAACAATTAAATTTTCTAAGAGCAAGAAAATTTTCTTATCTTCTAACTTTTTACGAGCAAAAAATGTACATATTTTTCATGAGAGCATGAAATTGAAGGCAATTTTTGCTAGAGATAAGTCGTCCAATCTTCTGACTCGATTCACTATGTGTGCAGTTCACCCCAATTCTAGCCCTCTCCTCTATAAGTGCAACGTAGAAATTTCAGACGCTCCTGGGCCATCTGCCCCAATTTGCAGATTATCACTTATAGCCGTACTAGCACATCTTCAAGAAATCTTTTTCCATTTGGAGAAATCAAACTGAGGAAAAACAACAGAAGCACTAACATCTTGGTCGTTCCTTGACAAACAGATCGATCACCAGATCGCCCAGAGTTGTTTCCAGCAAAACAGCCATGCTCGGCAATTATCCAAATTTCCTGAATCAAATTTCCAGGTAATCCAAAAAAATATGCCCCCTTCCTCTCTTGCCGATTATTTCCAAAACACTACACATCCAATCCGAGAAAACGCAACGATGAAACAAGAGCTGAACAAAAGCATCATAGCGCGGTGAAACAACAAATTATGGCATAAAAACCAAATATGATTGTTCATATTTATTCACAAGAAATCTGTATATATGTATGCATAACAGTAAACGACACAAAGAAAAAAAACACAATACGAACATTAAAAAAAAAAACACTTTAAATACATATAAAATTTTCGTAAAAATAAGTGCCTATTCGGGGCCCATTAATTTCCACCCTAACAGTATTATCAGCAATGTGCAATCGGGATTTCAGCTGCCATCCTGTCAGAAATGTGCGACCGGGATTTTAGGTCTCTCGCCGATATCGCGCACTAATTACCTAATTTTGGATTCTATAGTTTCCCATTTTTTTAGGAATTTTGCCCAAACTATTCTTATCTCTTAATCGGTAAGGTACTTATTTCACTGTGATCTGCAAACGGCAGCGTTCATGGAGTGATGGTACTCAAAATACACCAATACAATTCGGGATAGTTGAAACATTATCATTTGGAGACCTACTAAGCTAGTAATCCCTCTTGAAAGTAGGAAACGAATATTAGGGCCACCAGCAAGTTAACCACCAAACAATGCAACACTGATCGATACAACTGTAGAAATTGCTAACTGAAAGGATGGAGAATCAGATCACAATACAATTGTTGCAAAAGGAAAAAAAGGAGCGAGAAACA